ACCTTGGGTGCAATCCCAAAACATCTGGAGCACCACTTGAGCACCATCGGCATTCACAAAATCACCATCAGTCAATTGCAAAAGGCAGCTTTACCTTGGAACAGCTTACATCCTGCAATGATACTTTTAACACCATCAAACAACAACAGCTGCCTATCCCAGGTCCTTGGGAAGGATTTGATAGGTGGACAAAAATGCCAAAACCAGTCTAAGTATCTGGCTGACTTTGCGACCAACCATAATAATAATAATAGGGCCTTTTCAAGAGCTTGGTACTTAGCGGTTACCATATTTCTGGAAAATTAGAATATGTAAATATAATGATAAACTTTCTAGATCTTTGCAAAAGCATATAATACTATGATTTTGCTAGCTAATCAAACTGTTACTTCTTATAGAAATAATTTAGTTGCTACTACACAGTTTAGCATTTTGTATATTTTTTGCATAATATTATCCAGAATTGGCAACAGTATCACTGTTTTTTTTTTATTTGTCCAGGCTGTTTTAGCTGCCATTGTACTGGTCAACATGTTCCCATTTCTTGAAAAATTTATGGATGTCCCTTACCTGTGGAAACAAGATAAATATGATTTTGTAAGTTTTGCATGACCTATGCAACAAGGCTATCGAGTCAAATGAAACTGGGTAACAGATTAATTAGCATATCAGTAGAGTAAAGTCAGTATGCCAAATACCCTGGATCTTGGAGCTTTGCTAGTCAAAAGAATGAAATTGGGACTAAATTAGATAAGATGACAGAGATCAGATGTACATTTTTGTAAAGACAGAAGTAGGAAGAGGAAAAGAAAAGAAAAGCTTTTCAGATGCCCCAGTTTCCATCAAGATTATGGCACCAAAGGAGAGAGGGTTAATTGGTTTCTCACTGTGCACTTTCTCCAATGCCAAATATTTTAAATATATTTCTAGGGGATACTATAATATGTGTATCAATTCTTAAAAATTATGTCTGAAACATATCTGAAGACTCCTGTTTATTGGGACAGTTCTAGGCTCAATAGCTATGGGAAGACAGATCCTTGATTCATAGCTAGCTAGCTGTTGACATTTCTTGTGTTTCAGATTAAGACCCATTGCACATTGAGACTACAACATACAATAGTTTAGACCACTGCAACACTATTGCAACACTACTTTAACCAGAATTTCTTCAACTTTCTGGATCTCCACTCTGAGTTGTTAGCCTACCTAACAAGGTAGTATCCCCAATGAGGCAGTTGATGGATTTCACAACTTGCTTCATGAAATTTACTTCCTTGTCACAAGTCCTATCCATCATAGCCTTGACCAGAATACTCCAGTGATACCAAAGAGCACTCTCCATAACAGTTGAGTGTCTCCATAACAGTTCTGCCTGATCTCCTAGAAAGAGATACCTCCAAATAAATTATTTAGAACATTAGTTATCCACAAGGTGCGTCATGCTTTTTATCATTAACACAGGTAAAGAGTGTTATATAAGTTTTAACTTTAAATGTGACCATTGCTTATACTGAAGCAGTTGGAAATAAAGTCTCAGAACCTCTTGCATCCAACACAGAAATTTTGAGAGTAGAGTTTTATTGCACAAATAACACTATTCATCTTGCAGGAGAAACCAAATCCTAACTAATCAGAAGGACTCTGCTTCCATGTGAAGGCTATGGTGCTTCCAGGGAGTGCTAGAGAGGTCAGGGTGAATAAGGAAAATATTTTCCTCTTGCTATGTTTTTGTGTATTTCCTTGCCTCTTTTTAAAAAATGTATATCAGTTGGCTTTTTTTTTTTTAGAGTTGTATATATTTTGTCTGGACCTGTCTGTGTGTGTAGTGGTGAAAGTTATAATCACTCTGAGAATAACTGTTATAGTTAAACTGCAAGAAATGGGGGCTTTGTTATATTAACAATGTACTTTGCTTTATGGTTATTAAGTTATTAATAATAATGTTCCTGTTTCTATCTTTTAAAGGGAATTTGGATTGTGACCTTTATGGTTGTCCTCTGCCTTGGTCTGGATATTGGCTTAGGAATTGCTTTGGGATTTGCCTTTTTTATAATAAGTGTCAGATCACACAGGTATTTTTCCTACCATATTGTTGTCTTACTCCACATGCCAAGCTCTAATGTTAACCTTTTCTGATCATTCTACTTTAAGCTAACTTGAACTTTAGGAAAAAATATTTGGTGATAACAACAGCTTTGTAATAAAACCAAATACTTAAGGGAGTTTCCCTTCCATCATCAAGCAGATGATAATCTGCCATCTGATGTTCTAACTCTGGATCTCTTTCACTGAGCAGGGGTAATATTAGTTGCCGGTGCCATTCCTGTTCCTTTTTTAAATCCAAATTGTTTTAGGAGAGATCTCTTTTCTTATATTCGTTCATAAAGATTATTTAGCCCCCCAAACTAATATACTAACACACACTTCCTTGAGAATCTTGCACGTTCGAAGACATATTTGAAAGACTGACATTACTGGTTCAATAATATGACTCAAAAGTAATCTTCTGTGTTAATAGTTGTTTCTAGTTCTCTAATACTTCTAGTTCTCAGTAGGTACACTGAGAAGCTGAGAAGACAGCATCCTTGGTCTTTTTCCCTGAATCGTTTCCTATATTTCAAGCTCTACTTCTAAACCTGTTCTTTCTCTCTGCTCTGTGGTTTTCTGAATATGAGAAATGGATGAGGTTGACACAAAAATGTTATCCCAGAAATAATTACTGTATTTGCTTTACGCTATTTTATTTTAGTTAAGACCCCATGCTGAGAGGCCTTCCAAAAAGCCTCTCCTATAAAATCCCATTTATGAAAAAGTAGAGCCATAGAAACTAGGCTGTGCTTGTATATTTCCACCAAAGTGGTTAGGTAGGTTGGTTTAATTGCTAGATCATTTCTGATTTGTTGGCTAGCCTCAGGACATTAGAGATGGAGCATTTTGCTTGATTAGATATAGTAACAGTCAGTCTTCCCCCAAATGCTGGCTTTCCCTTATCCTTTGCCTTCTATAAAATTGAGAAATCTCAGAAGAAAAAAAAAAAGGAGAAAGAAAAATAAAAAGAAGGAACAAGGAGGGCCCGCCTAAGAACATCTAAGTGGGATGCTCAGACTTTCTTTCTCCAGCTATCCTCTCTATAATGAACTCTGAGCTTATACTGAAACCTAAGAGCTTATTCAAGGTGGTAATAAGTGACTACTTTAACTGATGTACTGATTGTTGCCTTCCTGTGCTTTCCCTTATTTTTCTTTTCTAATACATTCCTTTTTATACCTAGAAATTTGGTTTTATTGGGTAAACAGGGAAATTTCTTATTAAAACCTGTCCCATATGGAAGTCCATGTGTTTCAAAACTGATTCAAGTTTTGTTAAGTTTTGTATTTCTGGTTTTTGGGCAGGAAGTACCAATGTACTTTTAGTTTTGTTTTTCTAGAAGAAACCCTTGGTTGAGAGGACAAAAAGTCCCCATTTGGAAAACTAGGTTATTCAGGACTGATTAATGGCAGCCTATAACAAGAATCATTTACTGGGAAAGCTTTGGAAAAAGGTGTCTGTTAGTGAGGCTTTAAATTACCCTTCCTCCCATTATCACAATTTTATTTTGTATAAAAAAGTTATACCCTGCATTTTTAATGTATATGCACCAACCAGAGTAGCAGGGGTAGGATGCGAAATGAGCCACATATCCAGTGGATAACCTGATTCTTTCTCTTGCTGTAACTTTTGTTTATGATGCATTAATCAGAACAGCATCTTAGTTTTTTTATCTAAATAGAACCGTGGTAAATTTTGAGCAAGGCAAAAGAAACAGAGCTTTCCAGGGCAGTCCTACATGCATCTAACGTAGTCGCCAGTCTCTACTCGGCTCCCACTTGTTAGAATAATTAGCTGCAGGATCATTCTACCTTGTGGCAAATTATTTGGGACAAGTACCAAAACACTTAGCATGTAGCACCAGGGGTGCTAAGCAGTCCCATACTTCGCTGTTTGTGAACTGCTCTTGTACGATATGCAGACCTAAAAAAAAAAAATCATCACCAGTGATTGCTGGTAACCTAATGCAGAAGAAATGACAGCGTCAGAGCAATAACATAATATATTTGTTTTTGGCATGAGCGAGGCCTCTCTATGTTTCACCAAAACAGCTGTTTTCACTGGGTTGGAGAAAATAGGATCAGACTATTTCCTGCCCCTTCCCCATGTAGACATGAGTGGGAAAGATAATACAAAGGAGTCTACATCTCATCTAGATAAGTATAGCGTTCATAGTTCAAATATCAAACAATTCATCATTGTTTCTCCTTTTTCTTTTTTTTTCCAAATAATTTTTATTAAGAATTACAAATAGAAAGAATAAAAACTAATACAAAAAATATAGGAAGACAAAAAGTAAAATACAAAAAAGAAAAAAGTGTAAAAAAGAAAGGAAAAAAAGAAGTAACTTCCCCCTTCATCTCAACAAGTAAAAACAATTTTAATAGCTTATTACCATCTCTTAATAAAACATATACTCTCTTCACCCCATAATTCATCTCTTAACTAAAAACCAAAAGCCTCGTCTTTTAACAATCTTAATTTTTAACGCCTTTAGATATAGTCTTAGAGCTCCTTTTCTATTCATCTTTTTTTTGACCCAAGAAACTTTCAAAACTTTAACAGACCTCTTTGGTATATCCAGTAAGTAAAATTTGTCCCTTTTTAAATCACTTCTCATAAAATCCTTCAAGACTTTAACAGACCTCTTTTGTGGATCCAGTAAGAAAAAGGTATACAAATTGTGTTTCTGGTTTAATAATTGTACATCTCCTTTAAGCAGTGAAACATTCATCAGTTTTGTTTGTATATCCAGTACATCTTTCTCGATATCCTTCTCATTGCTTGACACATTTAAATCCACATTCAAATTAATTTCAAACTTATCCATTGTACCTTGTTCTTCTTCTGTAACTTCATTGACACATGATCTTTCTATCATATCAAGTAATTTTGAAGACCAATATTCAAAAAACATCCATCAAAGTTTTTTGCTCCATTCTTTCTTAACAAGATGAATTTATTGTCCTCTAGCTCCCTCTAGTGTCAAATCATCAAGGTCCCATTATCATGTTTCCTCTTAAAGAAACCCAAACAATTGTAGTTTCCCACAGGGAGAATTCTTCTAATTAATTCAAAAGTATAATTCCAAGTCCATCTGGACCCTTAATCCATTGTTAACTTTCCAAAATCCATATTCTAAGCATCCTTTTGCTGTTTAATCAAAAAAAAATTTTTCCCAGAACTTTAAAAATTGTATTTAGAATGTCTTTCTCCAAGGAAAAAGTAACTCACCTGATGAATACAATAAAACCTTGCCAGTCTGAAGGATCTTAATATTTCCAGTACAATTTTTTTAAAAAATCCAAAAAGTGATTAAGAAATGAGGCTCAGTCAAGCTTTATGTCCTTAAAAGGCTGCGTTACAAGTATGAGCTTGATGGTATCCCTCGACTCCCAGCCCTACTCAACTCATAAGCTGACCACAAAACAATTCCTGTGGTCTACTCATGAGGAGCGGTTGTCTGGAGTCACACAGGTTATCTCAATGATCTCTCCTTCCTCTGGAGAGATTTCACTGGTCCGGACCTGGATCCAGCATTTCCTCATAAACACGGTCCCACTGTCAGCAGGACATCAGCTTGCCATGGTGCTCACCAGAAGTCCATTGTTTTTCCTTTTTCTCTAAGGAAATTATTTCAGACATATTTCCACGGTGGGGAGATGGGTTGGAAAATTGGATCCATTGACTTTATTCTGTTTCTAAGGAGAAAGGAGATCCAATTTATACCTTGTTTCAGAATGAAAATGATGACATTGGGTCAGATTCCAAACACCAATATTTATCGCAGTTTCTCTGACTACAATGAGGTAAGAGGGAGATAAAATATATACTTTTTTTTTTGCTATAATCATTTTCTGTTACTAGCATACCAACAGCTGACAGGTCCAGATAAATTAATTCCAGAAATGATAGTGTCAGGCTCACACAGAGACAGTGATGAACATGGCTAGAAACAATTTTAACTGCATTTCATGAAATGATAGCCATAACCATTGACAGCTTCTGAGTGAGCAGGGAAGGTAGCTTAGAATTTACTGTATACCCAGGTGCATTGTAAACCTTTTGCGCTCTTTGAAGTCAGGACTTGGATTTCCTCGTATCACCAGTGCTCATAATGTTCATTTATGACAGATGTTTATGTATATTGTCTGCATTCCAGCTCTGCCATTCAGATAATTCCATCAAGTTAAGCTGAAATTTTCCAGCCACTAACTAAGCCCTTACTCCTATTTTGATAGGGCATTATAATTATCACTATTATGATTGGTAAAGAAATGTCATACTTCAAAAAGCAGAGTTGTTGGCATCCTAACAGCAATACTGAAAAACATATCCTAACAGACTATAATTAATGGTTGTAGTGTGTACAACTTCCTATCATCTTCTTAACCTAATATCAGCCAGGAAAATAGATTTTATTAATACCAATTTTATTAATCATATTTGATTTATTCATTATCTAAATGCTGTTTTATATGCCTAAGTGTACCTGGTATAAGACTGTGTTAAAAGTGCAAATTAATTTTCTACACAAACTGCCATTTCATTAGTAAATAATTTCAAGAAAATTGCTGAAATAGTTATATACTTAAATCTTAAAATACCTATTTAGATACTTGTTAAAACATTATCTTTCTATAATAAAATCCTACTACAAGTCTAGAGTCAGCAATTCATGATTTCGTTTGGTTTTTTCCTACCAGAGGCAAGATCAATTGTGGGGTGTGTGTGTGTTTTCCAAGCATGCATCCTTATTTAGCCAAAGTGGCATCGTATACCTGCAAGGAGATAATAGCATGATACTTGGGGGATATCCAGTATGTTCAACAATCCTGTGTAGCAGCTTGGGAATATGCACTGTTGGTTAGAATTCCAAAGAATTCCATGCCATGTAGTAACATTTTGAAAAGGCTCCACATCTAAAGAGTTTTATTTTGTTTACTTTTTAGGCCATGGAGGTTCAGGGTGTGAAAATATTCCAGTGCTGTGCTTCTATCTCATTTGCAAACATGAAACATTTCAAAGCCTACATTTTAAAAAAGGTAAATTATGCTCTCCTAATAAAGCAGTTCAGAAGCTCTGCCCTCCTAAAACAGCAGTCTAACCCTCTTTCTGTTTCAGATGGATATGAAGGCGGTGCCCCTGGATGAAAATGAGATGCGAGCCTTGATCTCAGTCAGTATGTCCAGTGTTAAAGGACAGAACAAGGACTTAAACTGTACCTGTGTTTGTGATCCACCTGAACCACTACCCAGGGTCAGAGGCATTTCTTGTCTGCATGGGCATGCACATGTTTTACTCAAAACCGTTTGTAATTCTTACACAAATAGCAGTGAGGCAAATGCTTTCAATTTCCTTATGTTGAAACCTACAGCCATATAAATAGGGAATACATGCAGAAAAGATTAAGAATGTGTTCAGCCTATCCTTTCCTCCATAGAATAACCCATATGTTGTCCAAAGTGTGATTTTGCTAATGATCTCCAAAGCAGACCCACCCACTTTTCCATGCTATGTTTCTGGGAGATGGTTTAAACCCTGTCCCAATGTGAAAGAAAAATCATAACTCCAGTCTTCTGATGAATCCAGATATCGAGCAGGGAAGGACCAGCAGGAGGAATGCCCTCCCTGCCATTTCTAAGAATTATTTCTCACTGGGATGGAATTAGTATGGATCACCCAGTGGCTCCTGTAATTCTCTCTCTCTGTAATTCAGGAACATGGCAGAGGGCTGGAAGACTTCAGATGATCCTTAACCCTTCCCAGCTTACTCCTTGCCACTCTACAATTTCTTCTTAACTTTCTTGTCACCAGAATTTCTTTTGGATAGTCAGGAAGCAGGAGGGAATTCTGATGTTAGGTTTCTTCCCAAAAGTTAAAGCCCTTTCTCCAAACTCTAGGGGAGAAATCTGAGAAATCTTGTGGCTGAGATGATAAATATGTCATTAAATTGAGAGTGGCAGAATGTTTAAGCGTATGAAAATGCTGAGTCTGTAAAGAGCAACAGGAAATACAAAATGATTTACAAGATCACCCTATTCTGTTCTAGAATCTCTAACTCTTGCATTCTAGGTACCTTACAGAGAGAAACTTCTAAAGCGAATTCATACTGCTAATGAATCATTTTCTGCTTCTTCTTTGGCCTTGGTACGTTGGACAAGAAATGAGAGTAGATATTCTTCTGATGTACAATACATCCAATCCCCAGCAAGAGAAAGGGCATATGAGTATGCAAAGAGGAAAGAAGATCTGAATAAAATGTGGTTTTGTTCAGAACCTCCTTTAACAAGATCTACAACTCAGTTGTACACACTTAACTCAGAGTGTGCAATGCATGTGATTCACACTATTGTTTTAGACTTCAGCATGGTGCACTTTGTTGATTTACAAGCTTCTTGTTTATTACGGGAGGTAAGTCACTTGCTTTGCTTTATAATTTTATTAATCTATAATTTTTATTTAGTATATACATGAAGAAGACTGTGTTTGGAATTTATAGATGTATATTTAATGAGAAAGATCGACTACAAGCAGCATGGCCAAATATAACCAATATGTCTATTTTTACAGTTCCTTCATCTATACATTATTTTTCTCACAGAAACAAAAAGATGCTCTGCATACTTATATTTAGCCATCCAGTTTTGAAGGTTCCCTTTCATAAGTATATGGTCTAGCTAGCTAAATATGCAATACATGTTTTAAAATAATGTGATTATGAATCTCAATTACAAAAGAAATTACAAAGTGATGAAGAAACTGGATGAATAATGTGGCCTTCCAGATACAAGCAAAACTGATGCTTTCCCAAAATGTTAAGACATCTAATTTATAGCATAAAGATTTAAAGAACACTTATTTTAAAATTCTACAAGTAGTCCGAGGATACTGATGCTGTAACTTGAGCAGAAAAGACAGAAGATAAAACAAAACTGAACAAGAGAAATGTTAAAAGAAATATTCTAAAATATTGAAAGTAGAAATAGTTACTGAAAGAAGTTATATCATCAGCAGAGTGATAATGTACAGTTGTATACAGTTTTCATTTTATACAGCTTTAGTATCAGTATAATTTGTTAACAGTTGAAACCAAAAAGAACATGCATTATAATGGAAGGTTTGTCCAACAATTTATGCATTACATTATCACAGATCTGTTATGTTAATATTATCACTTTTTATTAATTGCTTACTACTAAGCAAGAAAGCATCACCTGAGATTATGGGAAAATATCATTAATATACATATTTATAACAGGAAAACATAAATGAGAGTGCATTTCTTCTACAACGTGTTGTGTGGTTTTTAACCTAGTTTTCAATCTTAATCAACCTTCAGATATGAATTTCACTTGGTTTAGTTTCTCTCCAGAATAGAAGCCCATCAACGGAATGAATCATGTTCAGATACTAGAGTATAAAATTGTGGGATTAATATCCAAGGCAGCATAAAGCAAAAATTGTGAAAGATTTCATGCAGGAAGCACACAATACAGTTTGTCCAAATATGAACAGAAGTGTGTCCCTAGTGCATAATTTGAGTAGCTAGTCCAGGATGAATCCACATTGTCTCCTTTTTGATTAGAGAAACATATGACCTTGGTTGGGTCTTTTCCACCTCAATGAACAAGACAATAGAATAAGGAATAGGTTTTGGTTAATCCACAACAGCATCAATAACCCAATACACTACAGGAAATCAATCACAAGAACCTCCAATTCCTTCTGCTATCTAGAGAAGCTGGTTGTGAAAGCTGAATGACTGGTCTTTGTGACAATTGCAAAGCCACTCACCTACACCACACAGAACTGCCTCAAGTTTTCATAAAAAATAGATTTGCTTTTTAAAGACATACTACTAAACAAACATATTCATTACTTCACCCCCACTGCTTCTATTTGGACTCTGGGTAGATTTGCATGGATATTTAGTAATCAACTATCTTACTTTCAATAAGTGTTAATTATTTAATATGGGGGGTTTGGGCTGTTGTTATGATATAAGCAGGCCTGAGATATATTTGCAAAGTGAATTAAGGTATAGCATATACAGATACAGATATACATGTGTGTATATACAGTATTTGGCTTAGAAATATAAGATAGGTGCATTGTTTCTGGACATCCCATGCATGACATTGCTTATTGAAGAGGTATAAGAATTTATATAACACTCATGAGTGTAAAGGACACAACTTAAACTTCACCAGATTTTTGAGCTGATGACCTGCAAACGAAAAATAGATTCATCATGGTGGGAGTACCCTCAGCTATCAAAATCCCAGCCAATAGGGCTATGCTGGTTGGGAACTGTTAGAGACTTAGTCCCCATGCATCAGATTGGAGAAGGCTGTTTTATCAAACTGTATCAGCCTATGACAGTGAAATTATTACTAATTATTATATAATGGCTTCCTTCTATAGCTCTGTCATGTCTTTCAGAACATCGGAATCACAGTCCTGATAGCTGCCTGCCATCGTGAGTATAGGCACAGTAATTATCTATGCAGCAATTGTGGCTATAGCATGAACCATAAAATAAATAAATAAAACCCCTTTTTAAAAAATCATACAACTGCTTATAATATTTCTGCCTTTTTATCTCACAGCCACTGTAATAAAAACTTTTGAAAAGCATGATTTCTTTGACCAGTGTGTTACTAAAGCCCGGTTCTTTCCTACTCTGCATGATGCAATACTCTTTGCTATGGAGCCAAATCTCTTCGAAGAGATTGTTCCAGTGGAAGCCCAGAATGCAACACCTGTGGAAATGTTAGCAGAAGTGCATTTAGATGATGAAAAGGTATAACATTTCATGAAGGTTCATGATAAATGTACTGACATGATCAATACTGGAAAGCCTTCATTTCACTCCATGAATTATTGCTTTATTATATTTACAAGGTAGATCTCTGAGTAGGCACAGGTGATTTGCAATTATTTTTAGTTCATCCCTAGGATTCTGCTGAGCATTTAAGTTGTTCTGCCTCATGCTTCATGATTCCAAATTCAGATTTCTTCCTGTCATTGACATAATATTCTTCAAGGTAATGAACCTTACTGGTTCCCACCATCCCTAGATTGAATATGTCCACGATGATTATTATACTGCTTATCCTCCTGCCGCCTGTCAACTATGACACCCAACTGTTTCTTTTCAACACCTAGGAAAAGCCAGTAAAAATTCTCCAACTAGAATCTTTAATGAATTTAAACACAGCTGAGATGCTCCTTGTTAAGCTAAACGTACAGAGCAGGACTGCTTGTACTAATTTTGCCAATGTGCTGATTTTACTAGCCTCACCCTGATGGTTGCACATTCAGTGAAACACTTATACAGTAAAGGAACATCCATATACAGTATACAACCCTGATTGTGAAGTACTTCTAGAGCACCAACATGAAGGCAACTACACAGTACCTCTTTATAGCTGCTGTACTGAAAATGAAGACATCAATGAAGAGGGCAGGAGGGAATGTTACTGTGTTGTGGTAGGACCCTTGGATATATTGCCTTTTCCCCTCCTCAAATTTAATCTATGTACAGAGCAAATCTATGCAGGGTTCATATTATATAGGATGTAGCGTATGAAGTATCTTTTCACATAAACTTTCTCAAGCATGATCTACCCACTGACTTTATAGTTTTCCTCAGAGTGATGAGCTTACAGCTCAGGTGCAGGCCTTTGATGTTATTTATTTTTAAGTAACTGGGAAAAGGATTGCCCCCTTGGTCAACATGAATAATGTCCTTCCCTTTAAAGGTTGCTTTCTGTCTTAACTAGATAGAGTGAACTAATTATTTTAACTTTGCCAAATTATTCCTTTATCTTTCTGGAATTATAGCAAAGGGCTCTTCTGTATGTTGCATATGTAAGAACTTTGTAATATTCAATTTGGTGGATAAGAAACATGGATGTGTGTGTGTATGTGTATGCGTATGTGTATAAACTTCTGTACATGTAGGCATTATGCATATTTCTGTATGTTTCAGGATGTAAGAAGCTACCGGTCTGGGAGAAGTAAGCAATCAGATAGGAAGAGTCAGCAGTCCAATGGGATCAGAGACAGCCCTTCACCCAAAACTGTCCGAAGTGAAACATACATTGATGAGCCCATTTCTGATCTTTTCCGCACATTTTCTCTCCAGAGTGACTTGGGGGGTGCCTCTCATCATCCTGTTGAAACATCTCCCCTTGAGGACAATGAAGATGATCAAGAATGGGAAGGAAAATGGAATTATTCCAGAGATGCATAAATTATGAGATCCATTCAGATTAGCTAAATAAGCAGTGGCAAAAATATGATGCAGTTCATCTGGACCATTTTTCCTCCTTGCAGCCCCCTGGGCTTTTAAAGTAATATCCTGGGTTAAATCATTAGCCCTTTTTTTGTTGACATTAATGCAAAATGATACAACATTTATAGAACTGATAATCCATTGAGAGAGAGAATATATATTTTCTTTAAAAATGTAGCCTTTTGACTAGACAATGAAATTGGCTGTAAAGCTATAAATGTGAAAATAATTTATTATTTAATTGATTAATTCCCAGTTTTTTTTTTACTGTGTATCTTCCCATAAGAAATTTCTTATTTAACTGCATATGGTTTGCAGTCTTAATAACAGGGCTTAGATAATAGATTGTGAAAGTATAGACGCAGCCATATTTTAGACTCCAGTATATAGACACCTGGGATCTGATATGCAAATATGATTATTCTCCAAGGCAGTATATTTAGGTCAGCTTCAAGGAATATTTTTATGACTACATTCATGAATACCATAATTCATATTTTTACACACTGCATTTCTTACATTGAAGCCTGTTTCAAATCCAATAGGCTGAAAGCTACCTATAAATGTTATTTAAAGTAACATACCCCCTCTTCTCCCAACACAGTTTTCACCATGGATATAATCTAGCACACTTCACTGATGATATGGTTGCTGATGCAATCAAGGATGGGAACTGTCCAGCTCTTACTGATCATCTTGGCTCCTGCAGACAAATTCCCTTCCCTTGATTGCTAGGAACTGTCCTCCGTGTCATTTTGGCTTTAGATGCAAAGGAGATTAGACATATGTCTTTCAGAGAGGCATCTGTATGTGCAATACCTGATCAGCACTTTCCAAAGCCATTGTCAAATCTTATGTGGGCTCCTTATAAACACAAGTTTAGCATTCTTTGGAAGGTGACTAGTCCTGTACTGTATAGGAGGTTGATTTAACTGGGAAAGAGAGCTGTGTTCTGCCATATGTTTATTGCTGTTAACAACATAAGCAGTGCCCTGCCGGATTGGACCCTTGGCCCACCTACTGTTCTTACAGTGGCAACCAACTGTACAAGGAAGCCCACTGAGCCACCAGTGAGTACATTACAGATTCTTTGCTGCTTCAGCAAACAAGAGGCCTCACACAGTCATAACTGTATTGTTTTTATTACTTTAGTGAGAGGGGGCAGTGTAATTTTGTCTATTCCATTCCAACTCTACAGCTATCCACCAACTACTTCCAGGTACTGCTAGCCACAAAAACAAAAGTAGACTTGCTGCCAGCACTGCCATTGCCTTGCAGCACTAGACAAGGCTGAAGCTCACATGTTATCAGTCATTCCCTCCTGCTTCACAATATTTGTCAGCCAGGCTTTTTTGGACATGGGTTTAGTCCTCTTCCAGAAGAAAGCTAGATCTGTGTTTGGAAATAACCCAACTGACACAAGCATGAATAACCTCCAAGCCTGAAACCTAACAGTAAGACAACTTGACAGATCACTGAATACACATTCCAAGCCCCAACCTACAATTACCCAACTCTGCCCTGCATAGGAGACTGATTATTGTTTTTCTGCTAGCGGGTAACACTTGGAGGGAGAGGAAGCAAAACCAGGAAAAGCCACCAATCAGTTTCCTTTGGTTTCACATTAAAACGGTCAGGATAGCATAAGTCACTGGCCTTGTGACTGTGTTACAACAGGGTATGGCAATCAGGGCACCACATTTTATCCTGACATACTCTTCTGCTCGCTTACAGTTTGGTAGATAGCGTTGCAATGTGTCCTTGGAGTGTTATCTAAACTATTCAATTATATAAAATATGATTTTTGTATCTTGTATGTGATTCTGGCTAATTGTTTGTTCAATAATCCATGGTTAAGTAAGCTATGGCTTAGAGCACTAGATGAACTAGGTTATACACTAGTAAAGTTCTGCTGCGTTCACAGGTGATAATTCTTTGATTGCACATATCACCTTCCCATTTGTATACATCAATTAAAATGAAAAACAAACATATGAAACAATATAAAAACTACTAATATTTAAGACAAAAATTCCTTAGGACATAGTCCAACACTTAGTATTTCACTTTTGGGGAACCATACAAGGAGCATTGGGCTTCTAGTAATTCCTTGCTGAGGGTTTACTGAACATCACAGCTTTACTTGAAAGCTTCTTAGAAGCACATTGAACAAAACAGATGCTTTCTGTGTCTCATGTACACAGTCCATTTGTTTATTATATTGTGCTTCTTGCATGCATTATCTGACAATTGTGCATATAGGGTTATTCCAAAGAGTATATTTATTCTTTCAATTTAAAATGAGAAACACTGCCAAGATTTTTTAAAGATTTAAATTTTTTTCAAAGGGTTATTTAATGGACCATTGTCACTTACGTATTTACCTTTTAATGGTAGAAAGATGTTTTTCTGTCTATGGAATGCAAAGGAAGCTCACAAACACAGGTCTCAATTACATAAGAACCCCTTTTTATTATTGTTCAGTCACTGAAAATTCCCCAGTCTTTTCACAGTGTGATAAGCAGAGTTGGTCCCATTCCAAATAAAGTTATTTAATTTTTAGTAACATCATTACTATGAAAGAAAAGTGTGGATGATTCTAGACAACAATTAAAGTTATATTTATATAAATTAATGCTTCACTAGGGCAAGCCTTTTTCAGTACTATTTATGAGAAAAGGCAACTATTCTTGGGTCATGTCCATCCGATGCAGAATCTGAAGGTTGGTGACATGCATCTGGAAGGGCATCAAAGAGCAAATGCCAAAAGCAGCATTGCAACTCTTCTCTTTTTTTCTTTTTCTTTTTTTAGAAAAAAATTAAGTAGTGCTTGAAAAAAAGCAGGAGAGTTTTTAACAATATGGATTCAACAGTCTCTTTTCATTCATAAGAAAGTCTGTCCAAGAACTGAAGAACCTTTGATTCAGACAGTGGGATAGATTATTTTCAGCAATTCATCCTTCCCTGCAGCTTCCCTCCACATAGTGTATCTCATGTGTAGTTCTTGATATCTCACAATCTCCCACAGCAAATCTGAGTGTTGCAAGGGGAAAGGGGAATCAGTGAAAATCACAGCATTAGTATACTTCTGGAGCAACCTATAGTTGAATGAAACCCCATTCACAGATTCTTGAGATATACTGATTTTCAGGAATGCATAGGTGAGTGAAAGCTTTCAGTAAGTGAGAACACAGCTTATGTGGAAGTGTGCTACATTTATCTAGCATGAACATTGCTTCTTACAGCCACACTCAGGCTAAGATCAAGTTTTCCTGTTCTGGTTTCTGTTTTATAAATGACTCTCATGATAATGTTCATGATAGAAAGTAGCTACCGATAAGATTTATTTAGGCAATTATATCTGAACTGAAATTTGCTGCCTAGAAATCCTACATGGCATTTCATCTCACTAAAATCAATCAGTGATTTATAAGGAAAATAAATAAAACCTAGCCTTTCATTAGTTCTACTTTTCTTCTTAGATATCAATTTCTCTCTGATTTACTCAGAAAATGGATTGAACATACTGTTAAGAGAAACAAATACTCATATTTAGGGGATGGAAGCTAACTCGGGTTGGCCAAAGTTATTTCTCTGTGGGAATATGAAGAGCTAGAACAATGATCCAAAAATAGAAATACAAAAAGGTACATTTGCAAAAAATTAGAGTTCCTCTTTTTTCTTCAGAATGAGTTTCCTCACCAGTTCAGTCACATGAGGTTTTATTTCTTCAATAGTGACGGTAGAGTCCCAAGCATTTACCACTTTCCCATTTGGATCCACAAGGTATTTCCAGAAGTTCCAAGTTGGCTCTTCTCCAGTGGATTCTACATAAAAAAATAAAGTATAAATATCAGAGGTGGGAATCACCTATAATACTTTAATTTTGCCTATTTGCAATCTTAAAAGACACGTAAGATTAAAAGAGAAATGTGATTGTCCAAAGGAAAACTAATATTAAATAATACAGACGTAAAGATTAATCCAGATCTTGGAAGTGTCGGCTTTGGCTTAGAAGACAAAAGTGTTCAGTGCTTCAACAAAATAGCCCTGCCTTAAGCATTTAATGGAACATCTGAAGAAAATAGAAATTTACAACTGCAGTTGATCATTCATTCACATATTTTTAACATTTTTTCCACAATTGGTGCCTTTTAGATGTGTTGGACTACAATTTCCATCATCGTTAGCCATCATGGCTGATAGGCAAGTTTTTCCTTCATCCTTTTTCCTTATCTCCATCTGCCTTCCTCCCCCCCATTTTTAATTTTCTTTTTTTCCTTTTCTCTCTCTCTTACTCCCTTTGGTAAATTAAAGCAATAACAAATGCTTTTTAAAAAGATTTGTGCCATGCTAAATTTTTTCAAAGCACATTATGCTGAGTTACATGCGATTCAGAAATGTGGTACTATGAGATAAAAGACAAGGCAACTAAATTTTGCTGAACTCCTATTCACCTCCTATTGATTTCCTGGGATATAAAATAAAAATTGAAAATAATAACAAAAAAAATCAAAACTTCCATTTATTTTACTATATAATTTTAAAAGAAGCAAAGTAATTATTTTTGAACTCAGTTACTAATCTTCCCCCAACCTCTCAGATGTAAACTATCATTGATAGCTATCATAAAACTTTTACAATTTTCAATGAATAACAATAAAGTTAGTATTTGCAGCTGATTCAACCTATCTGCAATACTCACCAATTAAATATTTAAAGGCTGGATTTGCCCCGATGCCCTTCACTGCTATCTTGCTGAACATAGGAAAGGAAACACTATATGTTTGTCGGACAAAACTCTCAATTTCATTATTACTATTGGGTTCTTGCTGTCCAAACTGATTGCAGGGAAACGCTAGCACATTAAAATGATAGGAGCCAAGTTCTCTCTGCAGCTTTTGTAAGGCTCTGTAGTGACTGTCGGTATATCCGCACTCACTTGCAACATTGACAACTAATGTTACCTAATAGAAGAAATAACAAAAATATAAATCATAACACATTCCACTTCCAGAAGTATAGCATCCTTTACTTCCTATACATCCTGTTTTCAGAAGTATAGCAGCTTGAGAAGAATAATATTTTGCTTTCAGACCTCAGTTACTGTTTTGCTAATTGCTATAATACATACATACTGATGAAGTAATTAACTGGATCCTTTTGAGACCCATATCTAGCTTGTTTGAAACTGGGTATGTCTTCAGATTATTTTTTCCCCCTCTCTTCACCAATGGAACACATTAGCCATTGTTCTGTGGACAATTGTCTTATAAAATGAGTAATTGTCTGGTAAAGCTTTTCCTGTACAACACAGCTTTATTCTGATGAATACCTTTTGGAAATGAGAAGCATCAGTGGAGGAGAGAGAAAAAAAATCACAGCCTTACCCCTTTGAATGGGCATGTGATATGGAGGCACATATGCATAAGAAGAGTAGGGTTTTGCATGCCTGTGATTGCCATCTTGACTTTTTTGACCCCCCCATGGATGCCCATGACAGCAATGCATGTCATTTCTGAAAGTTCTAATATGCTACAGTCAGTTTATTAGAGAGATATATGCTCATTAAATCAACCCTTGTACCTTTAGGCATTAACTAGAGAAGAGACAAGCTGTTCTTGTAGACCTCAGGACATAGGTTGCCCATCCTCAACTAGAAATTTGTTTGCACTGTAACCAAGGCTATCAATGGCATTTTATCTTCTTTCTGAATAATAACATTTCCTTATCTGGATTAAATGGAGCCTATTGGTGCTCTTCTGAAACACATGGGTTTCCATTTCAGAATGGAAACAACTCAGGCATTTGGGCCAGGATGTTAGATGGACTTGTCCTGGGAGATGGAATATATGTGGTTATATCTCAACTGTATTATGGTTTTTGTTGTTGTCCTTAGGATATTATGATTTGTATTGTGCTTGTGATCACATTTTGGTGAATTGGGCAGCCATATAAATCTTTAAACAACTAAATAACTATTTTTTAATAGGGCAACAATGAGAAATGGTTGCAAATGGTTCAAAATCCTGTAGATAATAGGTAAGCAATAAAGAATCTTATCTGAATAGATAATAAATAATCTATTATGCCACTTGCAATCCATAAAATGAAACATGGATTTCTCATGTACCAAGAGAGTTATGAAAAAGCCATTCAACTACATAATCCACCAGGGCTCTGACTTAAAAAAAAATCTTCCACAACATTTACTTATTTACGGGATTTATATCTGCCTTTTCACCAGGAACTCAAGGCAGCATCCCTTTTCCCCCACAAAACAACCCTGCCTAGTGGTCTGGGACATGAGAGAGAAGTGGCCCAAAGTCACCCAACAAGCTTCCCTGGCTGAAGATAGACCTGAGTCTCTCCAGTCCTAGTCCAACACCTTCATCACGGTGCCACACTAGCTCTTATATCAGGTTTGAAAGAGTAAAATTCCTGCATCAGAACAATACAGGAAGAGTTCTTGAATGATTAATTTAGAGGAAGTGAAGGTAATGGATTCATTACCTGGAAAATAATTATTTTCAGTTTTATTTTTTGCTAGTGTTCCTGAAGAGGCTGCAGTGAAACAATCTGACTTCACACCTTAGTGGTTCCTTCTTTCTAGTTTGGAAGTTGGAGAAAGGGATAAGGAGAGAAAAGCACCTTTTAAGCTACTTTGAGATTTAAAACTTTTAATTCTGATTTGGATATTCAAATTACAGTTGCATGTCAAAGTTTAGGTATATCTGATCAACTTGTAGGTTTCAATTCCTCCCTAAGTGAACAGAGGCTGACACCACCTCTACACAGTACAGAGCTAAACTTAATATCTTTCTGCACATTTGAGTGCATACTTATAATTTATGTGCAGTCATTTACAAATTCAAAGTAAAAACTTGACAGGTGCAGAAGTCTGGATACCCTTTCAGTCAGTACTTTGTAACACCTGCTTTGGCAGAATAACAGCTTCTAAACATTTCCTGTAACCAGTTAGGGGTCTTTTTATTTTTGCTTCGGGAATGTTTTCACTGATGAGCAAATACTCCAACTTTTCTAAACATGCAGGTTGTGAATGTTATTATGTCCCCTTTCAACAATCATGGGCTCTTCTAAGTAGTTTTCCAAGCACTTGAAATTCACTCTTACAATTCACTCTTACAAAGCAAAGGAAGGTTATTTTAAAAATCTCTAAATATTTCCAGCTGGCAATTTCAACTGTGAAAAACTATCCTCTAAAGTACTTAGAGGAAAGAAAGAGAACCATTTTTAAATGGGCTTCCCATAATAACTTGGTTATTATTACTGAAAAACTGAAAGGAGATCTCAAACTTCTGCAAGGAAGAATAGGAGAAACATCCAAAAGAATAGAAAGACTCTTAGTTAGCTACAGGAAAATTTATTTTCTGCCAAAGAAGGTGTTACAAAGTACTGTCAACTGTAACTGCCATATTTATTGTTTTTCGTTTTTAATTTTGACTCTAAACAACTGTGCCTACATAGTAATTATGTAATCAAATTTGCAGGAAGGTGACATATTTAACTTTATACCATGTGAAAGTTGTGTCAGTTTCTGTTCACTTTAAGGTTTCATTCAAACATACAATTTAATCGGGGATGACTACACTTTTACATACAATTATGCAATTAATTACCTGTGATTAATTTCATATGCCATTTTTGGGGTAAACTATGTGAAGTAACAGAAGTGGTAATAGGGCTTGGGGGTGGGGGCAGAACATTTTCTATCCTGGAATCATCAATTTTTGAACTGTGTGTGTTTTTCTAAATGACCACTGAAGCTATTAAATCCTAATCTAACTGAAGGTAAAACAACAACAACAACTTTATTTATGGTCTGAGACCAAATAAATAAATAGGAAGGATTCTAATTTGCCAATGAGCGTCTATACCTGAATGGCGTTAATATATCAAATGGCAACCTTCCCCAACCAGTTGCTCTTCAGATACATTGTTAGAGTTATTTCTCACATGGTCAGAGGAAAACCACCTGATATCTGATCTGGCCATTAGTAAAATAAAATAAAATAAAATAAAATAAAATAAAATAAAATAGACAGAAATCAGGCATTCTGCTCAAAAGTGAAGAATATGTTGCCTTCCTGCAAATTTGATTATGTAATTACTATGTAGTAATTATAACCAGCAAATAGCAGAGTTTGGGTGAGAGAAACATTGAGTTCACTGAGTCACTGAATTCTGTGTAACTTGTTTTTGGTAAAGAACAGAGGTTGAATTCTTTTGCAATGGCTTCTTAGCCTGTCTCCAAGAAAAACTCCTTATCAGAAGCTCCTGGATTCTTGTGTGCCACTGAATTGTTCCCAATCCAGCATGCTAGGGATAAGCCTGCCATGCATCAGGACTACAGTTCCCAGGATTCCTAGTCAGCATCATCAGCTGCTGTGTTGAGTTGTGATTCTGGGGGCAGGGGTGGAGCTTATTTGGAAAGCCAGATTACAGGAAGGTTACTATATGGCTAACCAGAACTTGTAAAGGACCAGCTACAGTACTGGATGATAAATATGGAAAATCTGTGCTTTGATATGCCATCAGAGAAACTGTGAATTTAGAACTGTCCCTATCTTTTAGTTCATCCTTTCAGTCTGAGGAAGCCAACAGCCCTGCTGGCTAGAAATAATGGGATTTGTCATCCCACATGCTTTAAGTGTAGTAACTATAGCAAGCTCATGGTAACAGCTGAGAGTTAAATTACTATCAATGTGATTAACATATCAAATCTGAATGTGAATCACGTTTGCCATCTAGTGGACATTGTAACCCCACACTTTGTACTTCCAAACATGTTGAAACTGTGCATTTAATGTGTGTATTAAAACAAGGAATTGAGAATGAAACAAAGCATACTGTAAGTTTGTAACCCAGGAAAAGGAGAACAATTACTGTATATGCAAAGCAATGTATTCTCTACATTTAGTTTGTGCTCAGAATATATATTACCAAGCATTCTGATCACTTGAATTATCTCTATAGATATATGAGGGAACTGGAAGAAATCATGGCATGCAATATTAGAAAATATATCAGATGGTATTATAAAAAGAACAAGATATGGAATTCAATCTGGGAAGTAACTGTGAAATTGTTAACTCTCTCTCTCTATATATATATTTCCTTTTAAGCATCCTTTCAGGTGTTACTTTCATTATGCAATTGCTGACTTTACAAGTGACTTTATGAGAAGTTGCCAATTTCGACTTATAACTTTTATATTTCTTCTATCTTTCTTTCTAAAAAATCTACTATGGAGAGAAATATGGAATAGCTGAACTATGGTAATGCTAGGAAACCTTCATCTGGAATTAGCCAAGTACTTTGCAGCTCAGTGGGTGACTTTGAGTCAGTTAATGTTGTGAGGATAAAAGTGAGGATTGACTGTTAATGCTACCTTGCATTCCTTAGAGGAAATATAGGATATAAAAATAACAAATTCATTAAAGGTGTTCGTAAATGTTATGTTCCTGGGCAGTGAGAAATGTAAAGAGCGTATTGGTAGAAACTGAAGTATTCTAAGTGGTAGATAGCTTCTGCCATTTAGGATCAACCATCAAGAGTAAAGGAACCGGTGGTCAAGAAATATACCACAGACTAACACTTAGTAGAGTAGCAAGGAAGACCTTGAAAAAGCTATTCAGAGGCTGGGAGATGTCTATACCTACAAAGATCAGAATGGTGCAGGCTATGGTTTTCCTTGTGGCAGTCTATGGAAGAACAAGATGGACTTTGGAGAAGCAAGATAGAAAGAGTATTGATGCTTTTGAATTGGTGTTGGAGAAGACTCCTGAGAATATAATGGATAACTAAGAAAACAAACAAATGCATCATCGAACAATCAACCCAGACTTCTCACTGAAAGCACAAATGACCAGGCTCAAATTATCATTCTCTGGACACACTATACGAAGACAAGGCTCTCTAGAGAAATCTCTAATGCTGGGAAAGAGGGAAAGAAAAAGAAGAGGGCAACCAGCAGCAAGATGGATGGACTCAATTACAGCAGTAGTGAAAAGCTTAAAGAACCAGGCTGGGAGCAGATTATTCTGGAGAAAATCTATCTAAGAGCCAACACACAATCAATCAATCATTCAATCAGCCTCCTTTGAGTCAAGCTTGACTTCAGATAACTTCATGGACACATCCATGTGGTCTTTTTGATAATGGTATAGAAACGGTTTGCCATCTTGGGGTTTTGTTTTGTTTTTTTACTTCCCAATCTAGACAACTCTGTGATTTCCTGATGTTCCACCCATACTTATATATGCTATACTGCTTAGCTTCTGAGACCAACCAAGGTCATACATTTTATTACCTAGCTAGGCAAAGTAATCTACTAGGGAGCTGATAAAATAAAGATCATCCACAATGACAAATAGGAAAATACTTTGGAATATATTTGGGGAGTAGTGGATCCTATCCCAATGCATTTTTCATAATTCATCAAGAGCTGCATGCTTAATCTTGGATAGTATAAACAACCAGTTTTATATCAGACTGTTTGCATTAAAGATTGGATAAAGACTTTTTATTTGTAGATTGATAACTATAGTACAATAATGTTCTGTGAGTTCTTAAATTAGTACCCAAAATGCAACATAAATGCCCCAAAGCATCTCATTGTCACTGAGTATTTTTTTTCTCCACAGGAACTCAATAAGTGGTAATGATAGTGGTTGTATGTATGTGAGTGTGTGAGAGAGAGAAAGAGCATAAAAGCCATGCATCCTGGTTTAATTTACTCTTACTGTATAATGAATCATATACACATATTTGGGTATGTAGTAAGATGAGAGGAAAATAAATGCAGGAAGTAAAGATAGTAACAATTACTGTTATTCTCAATCCATTCAAAAAGTCACTTCAATGAACTACGTTTCTATGCACTGAGTCCTAATTAATTCTTAATTAGGCCATAATTTAAATTAAAATTAAGACCTTGGAATACCTATTTACTTATTTGGTTTCAGTTGTTAAATAAAGATGTTGCTGTTGTCATCACCATCATCTCCTATTTATATTAGTACAGTAATTAAGAGCTTCAGCAGGCAGTAATTTTAATGTAGATCAATATACATTATGGTAAGATACTCTATACAGGATTACTTTACTTATCTGCATGGATTTGGAACCATAATTCTTTGTGCAATTCATTAAAGTGATCCTACTTCAAACACAGTATTTGTGTTTTCCATGTTACTCCTAAATCTCTAACTAGAAGCTCAGTATATCCCTGTGGAGCGTATTGAGAAAGTATCCTGCATGAGCCCCTTTGCAACAGATAAGTAGGAGCTGGCAGACATTCATATTAGGTTAATGGAGATTTTCTCAACAGGCTAAGAAATAATAACATTTACTGCTAACTATACTTATGCATTTGACTACTCCTTGATCCAGTTGCTGCCATTCTTCCCCCATCCATGTATAGGTAATTTAAGATTAAGGTTTTGTCAATGTGATAAACCAGATTCTACTTCACAATTTATGGCATAACCATTCCACTTAGGGAATGTTCTTAATAAGAAAAAAAGGGGGATAAGTTAAATTAAATTAAATATGATAATCTTTCAGGTGCCACAAGACTCTTTCTTTCTAGAAACATTTTCAAAGGCCTGTATATATACTAGGTGTAAGTATCTCAGTTTCTTCCAGATGTTTTGGATTATAAATCCCATAATCCTTAAATTTAGGCTATACTTGGTCTTATGGGAATGGTAGTTCAAAAACATCTGAAGAGCAAGATACCTTAATTTCTAGTAGAAATATGGTGATGTTTGCAACTTCAATATTAGACTCACAAATAAAAATAATTTTCAGGCAGGTTTTACCTCATGTACTGTTTAACAATTGTATGCATCAAATATACGTTTCTTAGCTGCTATATGGTAAAAACTTCTCTAGTTTTACTTAAAGTCATATCTCTAGAAAGAGTTACATTCAACTTCTGAGTTCTAAATCATTAGTTCTAAGTGATTTAATTTATATGGATTTTCTTCAGACTAACCTTCTACATCACAAAAACTTCCAGGGTTAGAATTCAAATGAATAGTTATTTCATTAGTTGTTTTTTTTTTTTTTTAAGAAATCCGACTCTGATGCAGCAGCTATCTTTGTACGTTGGAACCCACTCCTCTTTCTCCATCCCAGTTAATCAATTGTTTGGTTTGGTTTTGTGTTAAAGAAAGCAGATGGTTTGCAACGTAGTTCGGTAAATCATTTAAAAAAGACTACGAGTAGATGCCAATCCTACGCCTTCGTCTCGCGTACTCAGAAACATGCTCGAATGCGAGGCGAGGAGTTCGGCCCGCCTGCCACGTAGACGCAGAACCGGCTGTTCACAGAAAGCAGAAGGAGACTCGCGCGCACACGCAGAAAGAGAAAAGGGAAAAGATCCGGCTGTAAACTTTTTAATAGAGCTTTACAGAACCGTAGGCGCAAAGCCGCAGACAACCGGGAGCCCCAACAGGCCATCCCTCCCGCAAACCCTCCAAGGCAGTTCAGTGCGCCTTCTCCTTTTTCCCGTCCGTCATGCAGGCATGCCGAGAAGTCTCGCTGGTTAGTCGGTGCAGCAGAGGCGGATCTCCTTCGCAGACTTACCGAGCCTCTGTACTTGTCCAGGGAGACTAGTTTGCCCCTGATGTTGACCACTTTAAACGAGTAAAAACTGTCCTCTTTCTGCTCGGAGGCAGAAAACGCCACGAACAGCAGTCCTCCTATGACGATCAGCATGGCTATAGGGATGAGAAAAAACTTAGGAAAGGAAGAGCCAGTTTTGTGCTCCACGCTGTCCTCTGGATCTAACATACTGCACAGCTTTCAATTGACGTCCTCAGTACCGCAAAGCATTACGGGAAAGAAGCTGCGGCTGCTGGAGTGAAGGAAGGAAGGAAGGAATAAAGCAGGTTTTTCTAGATATAACGGAATCATCTTCTTGAGTGAAGAGTTCGTCTATCAAGGACCTGATTTTATAAAGAACATCCCCAAATTTATAGCAATGCATTTCTTTCCTAGTTCCAACTGAAAATGTATGATATACTGCACAAGCAATTGAGTTTTCAGAACTCTTTATTGAGCAAGAGCATAGAACAATGATGGGAGAGCTCTTTAGAAACTTTGCTTTATGATTTTCAGCTAAATTGATATAGACTATGACCAGTGAAACCCTGGTTTATCATCCAGAGACAGTAGTCCTATACTTTCAGTCACTAGATGCCTGTGTTGAGGTGAACTGTCAAGCTTAAACATTATATCCAGTTCACTTTAACCATTAAGGATTAATGTTAAGTACTAAGAAATCAAAGAAACAGAATATCTCTGCTACTTGATCAGTTCACAAGTTCACATCAACCTGCAGGTTCAGAACAAGCTTAACAAAAGCAAAAACATTTAGCCATATTTAGAAAAGATCCACTGCAATGTATTGGACATTAATTAATACATGCTCATTTATTTCAGTGTATATCTAACTATAAATCTAAATCCAAACAAACAAAACTGAACAGTAGTGTTAAAGTGCAACATTACTCTTTTTGTTATTAGTGTTACTGGTTTCTTCCTGCATTTCAGTGGAAGTTTCTTATGTCTTTGGTTTTTGTTTTGCTAAGCGCTTTTGTCAAAAGGATTAGAGAACTGCCACCAAATTTTTTGTCATTATTGCAAATGCAATAAAAAGTTCATAAAGCCACATTGTATTATGAAATATATCCTTTTAATCAATATAAAGGATTAATTCAAATTTCAGTGAGATTGTCAGCTCAGAGATTATCTAAATCAGTTCTGGGCCAACAGTGATGAGTCACATATTTACCTGATTTTCAAGGTCAACTAATTCCTTACCAGCAGTTCTCTACATCCTGCCTGAGCTTTATATAACAGATGCTTAAGCAGCATGCCTCTCCGTAACTGAAATGGTCAATCAGCAAAATTGTCCATCATGCAGCTATATTTTTTTCAGCACAAAATATACCATGAAATATACCAAACCTATCAAAAATAAGTATAATACTACAGATATGAAAGGATTTTCCAAATGTACCTTGAGTTTAGTTCTTTGGCCAATTAATAAAAATAATGAATTCAATACTTTCAGACTTGGCCATGGTATTGTGAGAAAAATGAATCTTTGGGTGAAAAAGACAAGTTTTTAGAGGCCTCAGA